GCCTACAAATACATGAACTAAGAAGGTATAGAGTTAGTCTCTAACTCTCCTGGGGATGAAATAACAGGGAAGAAGGTTGTGCTGTAGCCTGAGGAATTTTCCTGGGCTACAGTCTGTGAATGCACTGCTCACCAGCAGGTTCTTACTCATGGTGTCTTACTCCCTCATATGATGCTTATCTCTGATTGTGTAGTGGCCATTGTTTATGAAAAAAATCTTTTTTTTCAGTTCCAGTCAATAAAGATTTTTTTTTATTGTGTTTTAGATGAAAGTTTACAGCACAAATTAGTTTCTCATTCAAAAATTTATACACAAATTGTTTTGTGGCATGGGTTGCAATCTCCACAATGTGTCAGCACTCCCTCCCTTTCCCTTCCCACCCTGGGTTCCCCATGGCCATTCGTCTGGGTTTTCTGTCCCTTCCTGCCTCCTAGTCTTTGCTTTTGGGCACATGTTGCCCGTTTGGCCTAGCAAATTTGACTGAACTAAGAAGCACGTTCCTCGGGTGTGTTATTGTTTATTTTATCAGCCTGTCTAATCTTTGGCAGACAGGTGGACTTTGGGAGTGGCTTCAGTTCTATTTTTTTTTTTTTAAATTGTTGTAGTTTAAGTGAAAGTTTAAAATTCAAGTTAGTCTCTCATACAAAAATTTATACGTACATTGTTATGTGACCCTAATTGCTCTACCTAGACTGTGACAGCACACTCCTACTTTCCACCCCTGATTTCCTGCCTCCATCAACCAGCTCCTGACCCTCTCTGCCTTCTCCTCTCACCTCCAGACAGAAGCTGCCCATTTAGTCTCATGTATCTATTTGAGCTAAGAAGCACACTCTTCACAAGTATCATCTTATGTCCCATAGTCCAGTCTAATCTTTGTCTGAAGAGTTTCAGGGCTGCTGTTTTCTATTTTTGGCTTAGTTTTTTGGATCTTTGCTGTGGAGGGACAGCATGGTGCTTCTGCCTAGAGTGCCATGTTGCCGGAAGGCCTGAAAAACATTTTTGTAGAAAAAATTTGAGGCCTAAAAATTTACTTTTCTTCTGGAGATAATCTTTGCTTGCTTCTGCCAGGTACCTGTGGGCACTAGCAATTTTGGGTCTCCTTAATCAAATTTCAGGGTTTGAGCTTCTTCTTGGCTACACAGATGACTTCAGGCTGGTGAAGGCTGGTGTTCTTCTTGTTCACCCTTTCTCCTGGGGGAGTCTTGCACAGGCCAAAGGGACAGGTGATTTAGCAGTTCTCTAATCTTAGTGGCCTTGGGGTCTAACTTTTGCCCCCCAGTCCTAAGAAGCTGCCAGCAGCAAAAGTCAGCCTTCCAGCCTCCTCTTCCAGATCAACAAACATTCCCAACAATACTGGAAGCAGAAGTTCCCTTAGCTCTTAGATATCTTTTGAAACCATCCTCCTTGCTCTGTCTCCATCCCACCATCCTTGCCCGATGTACCATTACCACTCTCCTGGATGACTACAATAGCCTCCTAAATCGTTTGCCTGCATCTACCTTTGACTCCCTACAATCTGTTTCCCATACTGCAACCCAAGAAACTTTAGAAGCACAACTCTCTCTGCTGTAGCTATACTGACTTTCTTTTAGGCCCTCCCACCACAGGCTTTTGCACAAGCTCTTTCTTCTGACTAGAAGGGGGTGTTTACTGACCCCCCTTTCCATTCTTGTAAGTAGCTCCTACACATCTTTAGGTTTCAGCTTGATCTTCAAAGCTTCCAAGAAACCTTTCTGGACCTAGGAAAATCCACATAGTAGAACCACATACCTGTCCTTCATACCAGTCATCACTGTTGCAATGCAATTTGAAGGATAATTTGAGTGTTGGTCTCCCTCATTAGAATGTTAGCGCCCTGAAGGTAGAGACCTCTATTTTGGCTCACAGGTTTTATTCCTTGTGTTTAACATAGTGCCTGCACCTAGAGGTGTTCAGTGCTGCTAAGTGAATAAATGAATAAATGCATGCATGGATGAATGAATGAGTGAATACCCGCCTGAAATGGTGGCGTCGGCCCTCACATTTCATAGGCCCCAAACCACACAGCTGTGAGAGGCTATAGTGGGTCTGTGAGGTGACTTTGCTCTGGTGTGTTGGTGGTTTCCTTTGCTTGCTGACAGCTCTTGATGCAAAGCCTCCTTTTGCAGCCAGCTTTGGGAGAGATCTTACTGAGTATCCAGACTCTAGATCTTTGGGTCTCCCTGGGCCCCATTTCCCTCACGAGTAAGAAAAGGTGACTAATCCTGATTACCTTACCATTTGAACTTACTCTGAGGAGAGGAGGTCAAGGGCAACGGATTCATTCTAAGGCCCAGCAGTCCCTGCTCTTCATCTCCCCAATCTTCACCCACTCTGAAGTTCCTACAACCTCAAACCGACTTCTTTGAAGGAGACTAATCTTTTCCTCTGGTCGTCAAACCGGTGGGCTTCCTCGCTTCTGCCCGCCCCATTCTCACTCTGAGGAGATACTTTCCATCCTCCCTCACCCTGCCCTCAAAAAGCGGGTCTCAGACTTTCCGCTCAGCCCCTCACAGTGGGCAACACCATTTCCACCCCCTTCTCCCACTGTACATTTATTTAAAACTGTTTCACCCTTTATATAATACATGTTTTGTCATTAAAGAACATTTGGGAAATGAAGACAAATAGTCTAAAGTCAAGCCACTTAAGGTTTCACCCTCCCCAAACAACCAGTGTTAATATTTTGATGTATTTCCTTCCAACATTTTCTCGTGTGTAAGAGCTTTTTAAACATTGTTGTAATCATACAGTACATTAACTTTCGCATTCTACTTTCTCCACTTACGATGTCATACCATAATCTATGTTACTTACACAGGTTTATATTCCTTACTTCTCAATGTCTGAGTTTACTTAACCCTATGGTCAGACTCTTAGGTAGTTTCCAGAATTTCACTATTGCAAATAGTACAATAATGCATGTTTTTGTACATAAATCTTGCTAATGTCTTTTTGAGATGAGATGATTTCTCAAGCCTATTCTTGAATAAGAAGCATTTTTTTTTTTTAGTTATTTCAACACTCTTCTTCTGTTACTACTCTTCTAGCTTCTTGCGTCTCTTTACCATAAGCCAGATGCCTCTTTTTTAAGGGTCGGTTCTCTCTTTTAGTGCTTCTGTCTCTTATGCAACATGACTTTTAGGAAGTTGTAACTTTTTTTTTTTTTTAATGTACTGTATCCTTCCCTAAGTATCAAGTGCCACGTATGAATCCCCTAAACCAAAAAAACCAAACCCATTTCCATCGAGTCAATTCCAACTCATACTGACCCTATAGGACAGAGTAGAACTGCTTCATAGGGTTTCCACGGAGCAGCTGGTGGATTCAAACTGCTGTCCTTTTGGTTAGCAGCCGTAGCTCACAGTAGCTCTTAACCACTGCACCACCAGGAATCCCCTACTATGTGCCAAATACTTACACTTGTTTCATTTAATCCACACTCTGCAAGCCTTGTAAAGGTTTTAGAGACAAGAAAACAGAGGTACACAGAACTCAAGTTTTTGGCTAGGGTCATTCAGTAGGGTGATTTGAACCCAGACTTGTCTGCCTCAAAGGTAGGTCCTTTCCTCCACAAGGAGAGAGGGATCCACCCTTCTCAAGCTTTGAACCTTGTTTTCCCCATGCTCTGCAGTGGATGGTGGGCAGTGGAGCAGGTGCTACTTCCGTTTCAGCTTCGTTCTGCCGCACTGAAGTGCCAAACTGCAGGCAAGTCCCCTCGTTTCTCTGGGCCTCGATTTCAACATTTGTAAACTGGGCATATGTACCCTAGTCAGCTTTTCTCATAGCAGTCATATGAGAATCTACGAAGCAAATTTACATGAAAGCAACTGCCTCATAGCAAGAGACTGGGGGGCACGGGTGTCAGAAGACTTGCCTGTGGTTGAGAAGTTCAAGAAAGTACAAAATGCTAACGGAATCTGAATGATACAATTTCTCCAGTGGAATCAGGCAAATAACTGAAGTCTCCCCCAGAGAAGCTGTGATCTCCGTGAGAAATACTACATATTAGGTGTGAATTCAGGTTCACACTGTTGCCTAAAGGCTTTCCTGGATTTGGACTGAAGGAAAGAGAAGGGCACAGTGGCCCTGCCCTGTAGTACCATGTCATAGCAGAGGTAGCACCAGTATGGGTCTCACCAGGATTTAATTGACATGTCTTTGTTATTAGCTGCATGACCTCATGCACAACAGTGCTTGGTCCTGTACCATCCTCATGATGGGTTGTGGATCAGATTGCTGTGATCCATAGGGTTTCACTGGCTGATGTTTTGAAGTAAATTGCCAGCCCTATCTTCCTAGTCTGAGTTTGAAAGCTCTGCTGAAATCTGTTCAGCATTAGAGCAACACACAGACCTCCACTGACAGGCGGTTGGTGGCTGCACATGAAGTGCATTGGCTGGGAATCGAACCTGGGTCTCCCACATGAAAAGAGAGAATTTTACCACTGAACCGCCACTGCCTCCTCACTTGATGTAGGACAAGTTCCAAGCACTGGCTTCTGCTTTGGCTCCATTGTAAATAGTTCTCCCCTCCAGGGGCTGTTATAGCCACAACACCCGAGGTCCCCTTTGTGAGAATTAGAAAAATACACCCCTTCTTCAAGACTTAACTGATTTTATTAAAAGAAGACATTTATTTTTTTCTAGAAAATTGTAGTAATAAACACAAAACCAAAACAAACTCATTTCTGTGGAGTTGATTCCAACTCATAGCGACCCTATAGCCCAGAGTAGAACTGCCCCATAGAGTTTCCAAGGAGCGCCTGGTGTTTTCGAACTGCCAAGTTTTTGGTTAGCATCCGAGCTCTTAACCAGGGCCCCAGTAACAAATATACATATTTATAATACGATGCTGTGCCCAAGTCCTCACAGTTAGGGGACTACAGCCTATTTCCAACCTTCATTTGCTCTCAAATCAGCCTCAGGTCTCTTCCTCCTTCGTTTTTTCTACAAGATTTATTGTCTCTTACCTTGGCAATCTTATATTGAAAGTTTTTTTTTTTTTTTTTTCCATTTATTTTATCTTTTTCACAGATTTTAACCCCTTACTTCCCACCCCTATACCTGGGACCTCAGACCCCTTCCCAGTAACTCCACTTAAGATATATATCAGAGAATACATCAAAAGCAATGTTTTTCACTTCATTAAAAAGATGAGCTCAATGGGGGCAGGGATCATGACCATCCTGTTGGCTGGACTGACCTGGCAAAGGTTCCCAATAAATACTTGTTGAATGAATTAAGTGACTTTAAAGTTTTGCAAGTAAACACCACTTCTCAGCTCCAGGCCTCTTATCCTTGATTCAAAGTGTGCGTTTAGACTCAGTTTCCCCTTTGAGATGGTCTCATGTACAGGCCTTAAGGTCTGGGCTTCTTAACTTGCAGCACAAGGGTGTAAATGAGGCTGGGGGCAGTGGTCCTTGGCCTTGACTGCTTCTGAGTCTTGATTGACGGTTCCAGACAAATCTGGTCTTCTATCTGGCTTCTCAGTCTTCGTGCTTTGATTCCCAAATCCTGTGGATCCACACTTGACCCCTCTGGGTGTTGGGAATCTGTGGTCATGGCTGCCGCGACTGCCCATGGAAGTAGTTGATGAAGGGCCAAGTTCATGGGCGAAGAGAGCATTGTCTGACCAATCAGTGTAAGCTGAGCCCAGTGCCAGGCTCATAGCTGATGCTCAACATTTTTTGAGTCAATTAATCCACTTCTAACTGCTGTGTCTGCTTCAAAGGAGCTCTGGTGGCCCAGTGATTAAGTGCTCTGCTGTTAACCCAAGGATCGGTAGTTCTAACTCACCAGCCGCTCAGCGGGAGAAGGATGTGGCAGTCGGCTTCCGTACAGATTACAGCCTTGGAAACCCTATGGTACAGTTCTACTCTGTCCTACAGGGCCGTTATGAGTCGGGATTGACTCAACGGCAACGTATGTCTGCTTCTGCTGGACATGTCTGTCTGTTCAGACCTTCCTGATCTCTTGATATATTCCTGACCTCCAAGTCCTGGCTGCACCGGCTCGACATAGGACAGGGGCAGTCATTAATATGTGTGACACTGCATTTCTATTTCAACAGGGACACCTCTAAGCCCCTTTCTTGGGGTTCGCTTCCAGGAAGCCACATTTCCAGGAAAGAGTAGTTACACATTCTGGGTTTGAGGAGATTTCTTAGCAGTGGGTAGAATTTTGAACTCTTAAATCTGAAGGAGGTTAAAGAATGGTCCCAGGAATGCTGAGTCAGCTTTACTCTGGAAGACTCAATGTTCCTTATTCTTCCTTGATATTTCTGGTAAAGTCAGTAAATTCTTCTGCTTGTTTTCTTTGGGATGAGACACGAGGAGTGTGCATTGCTGTTTAGATGATATTCTCATAGGTAAATAGCCCTGGTGTGTCCAGAGACATGGGCAGTGAATGGGGTTTTTCCACCTGTTAGGCAGACATAAAGACGCAGATTGCTGGAGATGGTGGGGCTCTGGAACTTCCGTAGTGGACCCTGCCATCCCAGACACTTTTCCTTTCCAAGGTCACCCAACATAAACCTCCCACTGGTCTTCCTCCTACTGTTTAGTACTTCCTACCTGTTACCAATTGCCATGGAGTCGATTTCTACTCATAGTGACCCCATGCATGTCAGAGTAGAACTGTCCTCCATAGGGTTTTCAATGGCTGATTTTTCAGAATTAGATTGCCAGGCCTTTCTTCAGAGGTGCCTCTGGGTGGACCTCAAACCTGCAACCTTTCGATTAGCTGTTGAGCACTTAACTATTTGCACCACCCAGGGACTCCTTAATCCTTCCTAGTTTACAGAAACTATTCTTTGAGTGACTGTTTAATGAACTGAACTTTCCTTCCAATTACTCATCAGAACTGATCTTTCCTGTCACTAAGTAAACTGCTTAACGATCCTCATCTTTTCTGATTTGGTTGGGAGAGGAGGGGACAGGAGACAAGTGTGATCTGTGGAGGAATAAGCTTTAAAGCTTTCCACGTTGGTAGTTTGACTGGTGGGAAGGTGCCAACTAGATGTAGCTAACATAGCGGGAGGAAAAGAAGCAGAAATCTCTCCCTCCTCAGTTTATTGGTGGCTCAGAAGCAAGTTGGAGTCTCCTTCCCAACCATCCCTCCCAGCTCACAAACCGCCCCGGCCACCCCCTTGCTCCTCATTCACGACCTTAGTCAGGATCTTTCTGATTTTTCTTATCGTTCCTACCCAGGACCCTATGCCCCATATTCTTCTGTAACCTTAAGCAAACGGAATGGGGAAGTACTGGGGTACCTTTTAGTACCAGGAAATATGAGCTCCCTGGGGCCCACGAAATTTTAACCTGAGCGTGAACCAGGAAAAGGGATGGGACAATTAAGACAAAGCTCAGCCGTAAAGCTTCTTACCGTTTTGTGCGTCTGCGCGACAGAATAAAGCGTATGTGTTGGGTCTTCCTCTGGGGTCGTTTTCTATTAAAAAATGAACAACAAACAAAAGAAATCATCAAGGCCACAGAAGGGAAAGAAAAGGTGGAAGGAGATGGAGAGAGGGAAGAGAAGGTTCTGGAACAGAATTGGGTAGTGGGGAGGGCTCTTGCTAGTGACTGCTGTAATAATAATTACAGGCATTACCTCGGATATATTGTGGGTTCTGTTCCAGACCACAGCCATGAAGTGAATATTGCAATAAAGCGAGTCACAAGAATTTTTTTTTGGTTTCTCAGTGCGTATAAAAGTTATGTTTACACTATGCTGTGGTCTATTAAGGGTGCAATAGCATTATGTCTAAAAAAACAATGTACATACCTAAATTAAAAAAATACTTTATTGCTGAAAATGCTAACCATCATCCAAGCCTTCAGTGAGTCATAATCTTTTTGCTGGTGGAGGGTCTTGCCTCGATGTTGATAGCTGCTGACTGATCAGGGTGGTGGTTACTGACGGTTGGGGTGGCTGTGGCAATTTCTTAAAATAAGACAATGAAGTTTGATGCATCAGTTGACTCTTCCTTTCATGAAAGATTTCTCTGTAGCATAAGATGCTGTTTGATAGCATTTTACTCACAGTAGAACTTCTTTCGAAATTGGAGTCAATTCTCTCAAACCCTGCCTTTGCTTTATCAACTAAGTTTATGTAATATTCTAAATCCTTTGTTGTCATTTCAACAATGTTCACAGCATCTTCACTGGGAGTAAATTCCATCTCAAGGAACTACTTTCTTTGCTTATCCATAAGAAACAGCTCCTCATCCATTAAAATTTTATTGTGAGATTGCAGCAATTCAGTCACATCTTCAGGCTCCACTTCTAATTCTAGTTCTCTTGCTATTTCCACCACATCTGCAGTTATATCCTCCCCTGACGTCTTGAACCCGTCAAAGTCATCCATAAGAGTTGGAATCAACTTCTTCCAAACTCCTGCTAATGTTAATATTTTGACCTCCTCCCATGAATCAAAAATGTTGTTAATGGCGTCGAGAATGGTGAATCCTTTCCAGAAGGTTTTCAATTTACTTTGCCCAGATCCATCAGAGGAATCACTGTCGATGGGAGCTATATAGCCTTATGAAATGTATTTCTTAAATAATAAGACTTGAAAGTCAAAATTACTCCTTGATTTATGGCCTGCAGAAGGGATGTTGAGTTAGCAGGCATGAAAACAGCATTAATCTGCTTGTACATCCCCATCAGAGCTCTTGGGTGACCAAATGCATTGTCAACGAGCAGTAATATTTTGAAAGGAATCTTTTTTTCTGAGCAGTAGTTCTCAACAGTGGGCTTAAAATATGCAGTAAACCATGTTGTAAACAGATGGACTATCATCCAGGCTTTGTTGTTCCATTTATACAGCACAGGCAGAATAGATTTAGCATAATTCTTAAGGACCCTAGGATTTTTGGAATGGTAAATGAGCATTGGCTTCAGCTTAAAGTCACCAGCCACATTAGCCTCTAACAAGAGAGTCAGCCTGTCCTTTGAAGCTTTGAAGCAAGGCGGTGACTTCTCCTGTCTAGCTATGAAAGTCCTAGGTGGCATCTTCTTCCAGTACAAAGCTGTTTCATCTACATTGAAAATCTGTTGTTTAGTGTAGCCACCCTCATCGATTATCTTAGCTAGATCTTCTGGAAAACTTGCTGCAGCCTCTACATCAGCACTTGCTGCTTCACCTTGCACTTTTATGCTATGGATGGAGATGGCTTCTTTCTATAAACCTCATGAACCAACCTCTGCTATCTGCAAACTTTTCTTCTGCAGCTTCCTCACCTCTCTCAGCCTTCATAGAACTGCGGAGGGTTAGGGCCTTGCTCTGGATTTGGCTTTGGCTTAAGGGAATGTTGTGGCTGATTTGATCTTCTAGCCAAACCATTTGAAACTTTCTCCATATTAACAATAAGGCCGCTTCACTTTCTTATCATTCACATGTTCACTGGAGTAATACCTTTAGTTCCCTTCAAGAACTTTTTGTTTGCATTCACAACTTGGCTAACGGGCATAAGAGGCCTAGCTTTTGGCCTAGGTCAGCTTTTGACTTGCCTTCCTCACTAAGCTTAATCATTTCTAGCTTTTGATTTAAAGTGAGAGATGTGGAATTCCTCCTTTCACTTGAACGCTTAGAGGCCATTGTACGGTTATTAATTGGCCTAATTTCAATATCGTCGGAAGGCCCAAGGAGAGGGAGAGAGATGGGGAACAGCCCGTCGGTGGAGCAGTCAGAACCCACACAACCTTTATCAATGAAGTTCGCCGCCTTATATGGGCGTGATTTGTGGCACCCCAGAACAACTACAGTAGTAACATCAAAGATCACTGATCACAGATCACCGTAACAGATATAATAATAATGAAAAAGTTTGAAATATTGTTAGAATTACCAAAATGTGACGCAGACGTGAAGTGAGCGCATGCTGTTGGAAAAATGGAGCCGATAGACTTGCTCACCTCAGGGTTGCTACAAACTTTTAATTTGTAAAAAATGCAGTATCTGAGAAGTACAATCATGGGAAGCACAATAAAAGGAGGTATGCATGTATTAGTGATTTTTTTTCAGGAAGCCATTGAATTATTTTTAAGCTGTGTTGTGTTTAAATGAACTAAAAAATATTTAAGTCCCATGAGCTATGAGCCTCCTAAAGTGGTTAAGGATTCTCTGGGTGGTGCAAATGGTTAACACACTGGGCTGCAAACCAAAAGGTTAGAAGTCTGAGTCCACACAGAGGTGCCTCAGAAGAAAGGCCTGGTGATCTACTTCCATGAATTAGCCATTCAATACCCTGTGGGGCACAGTTCTACTCTGACACATACAGGGTCGCCATGAGTAGGAATCGATGTGATGGCAACTGGTTTACTGAAAAGTGGTTAAAGGATAATCTCAACTAATAATGTGAAGGTTGCAAATAAACTTATCTATCTGTCAAAAGGGTCCTTGAGGCAACTTAGTAAGGATGACTGATAGAACAAAACAAAACACAACAAAAAAACAACAAAAGCCCCTTCCTGACTGGAGAAAAACATTCTAGGTCAGTTAAGTTTACTCTTGAACATCTAGCAATAAACATCTGTGGTCTCCTGGGGATGTGACTGAGCAAGGGAGGAGGGAGGATGGTAGTAAAGTGACTAAATCAGGCTGAGTGGTACACAAAGCAATCTTCCCTGGGAAGAAGGACGGAGTTCTCAGAACTAACACCTTGAAGAGGAAACAAAATGTCTTCTCTGCAACCCGAGGGGGAGACCGAAGGCTGAAGTAAAATTAGAGTTTTGAGCTGTCGAAGTATTTTGATTTCTTTATTAAATGGGCCAGTGTAGGAAAGGGCCCTGTGACCTCTACAGAGCTAGCCCGGCCTGGGCCACAATGATTATCCCTGGGGAGTCTTCCAAAGTCTGCTTATTTCATGCCCCCAATATGTCTCTTGTTATTTGGGTTTCTTTAAAGTTTCTTCTCATGGTTTTCTTTTCAAAGAGTTTCCTTTCAATTAAGTTTGTGTTCATTCACTTCAGCTGAGTGACCCACAGTTGGGGAGCTTGAGTGTTGGCCCAGAAGCCCTGTGGGCCCTCTGACCTCCTCCTGATGGCTCCGTGAGTCACCTCAGAGGAGAAAGGCATCTCCAGAGAACTGTCTGACCCCATGACTCTAACACGTTCTGTTCTATCCCACTGCAAGAGGAATCAGGCTGTTGAGTGGCCGGTGTGAACTGCATGGACCACACATGAGCATTACTGGTTGAGTCAGAACCAGGTGCTTCAGAGGCCACCAGTTGCTGTGCAACAGAGAATCCAGAAAGACTTGGAGGAGACACAGGTGCATTGGGTTTCAAGGGCTACACATCCTCATCCTCCCCCTCCCTATCCCTGTGTTGCCCAAATTCATGGAGAAATCTCAAGTAAAACAAAGAGGACTTCAGAGAGGAGGAAGAGGCCCTGGGAGACTCACATTAGGGTAAGAGACTGTGTCATACACTGTGTTCACTCCTGAATGGGAGCAGACGTCAGGAATTTCCTGATGTGTTTCCATTCCCTTCTTCTCTTCAGTGAACTCTGAAACCAATTTGGGAGAGAATCAGAGCTGGCTCCTCCAACCACTCACCAACCTTACTCATCCGTCACCCACCCAATGATTCACTTAGGGTGAAAAACCATCCCAGTTTTCCTGGAACTGACGGGCGTTCTAGGATGCAGGACTTTCATTGCTAAAACCAAGAAAGTTCCAGGCAAACCAGGATGAATTGCTTCACCTCCTGCTCTCTGGACCAAGGCAGTTGTCATGGATAGACTTATGTCCCCCCAAAATATGAGTCAACTTGGTTAGGCCATGATTCCCAGTATTGTGTGGCTGTCCTCCATTTTGTGACAAGAGATAGAAGGAGAGAGAAGCAAGCAGAGGGTAGAGGGACCTGACTACCACCAAGAAAGAATAGTCGGGGGTGGAGTGCATCCTTTGGACCCAGGGTCCTTGTGCTGAGAACCTCCTAGACCTGGGGGAATGTTGATGCCAAGACACATGGAGATTTCCAATGAACGTCAGGCCCACAGATGTTGAAAGGAGACAGGGACTCTCCCCCAGAGCTGACAGAGAGAAAAAACCTTCCCCTAGAGCTGGTGCCCTGAATTCAGACTTGTAGACTCCTAAACTGTGAGAGAATAAATTTCTGTTTATTAAAGCCATCCACTTGTGGTATTTCTGTAATAGCTGCACTAGATAACTAAGACAGAATTTGGTATGAGTATTGGGGTGCTGCTCTAACAGATATCTAAAATGTTGAAGCAGTTTTGGAACTGGGTAATGGTAGTGGCTGGAAGAGTTTTAAGGTGGCTAATAGTAAAAACTAGATTGCCTTGAAGAGACTGTTGGTAGAATTATGGATGTCAAAGGCAATTCTGGTGAGGGCTCAGAAGGAAGTGAGGAGAGTTATAGAGAAAGTCTCTATCGTCTTAGAGAATACATACGGCACCAGCAACAGAATGGGCAGGGCCATTGCCCAGATGGTCTCAGAGAACAGAGGATTATTTTCAAGGCTTGAGAGCTAATGTAAATTGTTCTGCTGGGTTTTGGACTTGCTTGGTGCCCATTATTCCTTCTTTCCCTCCAATTTCTCCCGTTTGTAATGGAAATGTCTACCTTGTGCCTGTTCCACCATTGGACTTTGGAAACGGATAACTTGTATTCTAGATTTCATAGGTTCTCAGATGAAGAGGAATTTAGGCCCAGAATGGAATAGGCCTGAACTCTCACCCATATTTGATTTAGATGATTCAGAAGATGCGATTTTGGACTTGGAGTTGATTTAAGACTTTTGGGGTGATATGATGGGGTGAATGTGTTTTACGTGTGGCAAGGACATGAATTTTTGGGGGGTAAAAAGGTGGAATGTCATAGGTTGAATTGGGTCTCTCCAAAATATGTGTCAGCTTGGCTAGGCCATGATTCCCAGTATTGTGTGGTTGTCTTCCATTTTGTGACAAAAGATAAAAGGAGAAAGAAGGAAGCAGAGGGAAGAGGGAGCTCGCTACCACCAAGAAAGAATAGGTGGGAGAGGAGTGCGTCCTCTGGACCCAGGGTCCCTGTGCTGAGAGCCTCCTAGACTCAGGGGGAATATTGATGCCAAGACACATGGAGATCTCCAAGGAACATCAGGCCCACAGATGTTGAAAGGAGACAGGGATTTTCCCCCAGAGCCGACAGAAAGAAAAAGCCTTCCCCTAGAGCTGCTGCCCTGAATTCAAACTTCTAGCCTCCTAAACTGTGAGAGAATAAATTTCTGTTTATTAAAGCCATCCATTTGAGGTATTTCTATTATAGCAGCACTAGATAACTAAAACAGCAGCCAAAGTGGGAAACAGAGAGGGTCAAAAATGTTTTCAAAGCGCTTCTGAGAAAGAGAAAAGATCTCAAAGGCTGCATATCATGCACAACTGTTGCTTAAGAGCCTCTCCAATGCCCCCCATAGACAGTATCAGTGGAAGCCTGAGAAGCCAGATCAGCAGGATTTAGGGACACAGAGCCTGGGATGCCGAGTGGAGAGAGAGATTGATTCATTTTTTGGCCTTTTAAGGCTTTTTAAGGAGGAATGTGTCTAGACTGCCTTTTAAGGCTTCTCCAGGAGGGATATGTCTAGACTGAGGTGGGGAGTAAAGAGAGATCTCTGGGGTTGATCCAGTGGAGAGGGCTAGGATGGCTGGCGGCTCTGACAGGGAGGGAAGCAGGCAGGGCTGAATGGAGGGTGCTGGTCCATGGGGATCTCAGGGTTGAAGGCTGTCATTTGCCAGGTCAGGGGAGCAGAATCAACAGTGTGAGGCCTGTCTCAACAGAAGGGCCACACCAGCAAGTCCCTCTGAGGGGAGGGAGAAGATTGGGCATGGAGTGGGGACTGGGAAGGCCTTGGCCTCTGGAGAGGAGTTAAGGACTCAAGCACTCTTTCTACTCCAGAACTAAGGGGTACAGGCTGACTATGCTGTCCTCGTGGGGAAAGAAGATTGCCTCTTCATCTCTATATCTTTAGTGTCTATACTAAACCTGGCACACAGCTTAATATATGCTTATCGAATACATGAGAGAGCAAATGCATGAAGGAGTTATGAGGACAAAAATTGTGCATGCTCCACTTTGGGGAAGTCCAAACCTTTTCCTCTGTCTCTCTGCCCACTCCAAGTAAAGAATCCAAGTACAAAGACAATGAGCAGGATGGGCACCAACAGGAGGTACAGGATAAACTTGGGGGCGTCTGTTTCACCAGCGGCACCTTTAAAGAGAGAATGGCAGGGGCACAGGAAAGGGAGGAGGGTCAGCTAGGGAAAATGACCCGAATGTTGGAGCAACTGCCACCTTCCTCCCAGCCTGGTAACTTCCGAGTGGCTTCTAGTTTTTGCATAAAGAGTGTTCCCATGGGGACCAGGGGCCGAAACGTCTTGCAACCAGAGGCTCCTGGAGAGAGGGAAGAGCTGCACCTTCACAGAGATTCCAGGAAGAGATGGGGTTTGAGAAGTTCCTGCTGATGGGATTCCTGGCCATGCAGATGAAGGTCATATTCTTTTCCCCCAGTGTCCAGGAGATGGGGAGGATGGAGCCATCATGGGACTCATTGGCTGTCTTCCAGCTATAAGTCACATCCTCGCCTCCCTGTTCCATGGAGCATGTCAGATTGGTCATACAGGTGCCATTCTTTTTCTTCTGCAGACCCATTGTGACTTTGGGTTTTGATAGATGTTCTGTGAAAAAGAAATGGACAACCAGGGGTGGAAACTATGTCTATAGTCCTTGCTCTGAATTATCCCTGGACACCTTGGATCTGAATCTCCCTGGGATGCTCCAGAGTGGGGAGGAAGCACAGTTCAGAGCAGAATTCTCATTCTTATCTGGGAAAGAGAACTGTCTAGGTCTGCTTGCCCAAAGCTAGATAATAATAATAAGGAATAGTAACAACAACAGCATTAATAGAAAATAACAATGCAACAAGAATGCGGTTGCCATTTACTAAGTATAATCAAATACCAAGCACTGTGCTAACTGCATTTTAGGGGCTAACTCTAGTTATCCTTTTTCAGGGCTCTCCACTTCACTGTCCTGAGGCCTCCTGGAAGAGATTTCACTTTACTCTCCAGGAGAAAACAGTATTAGAGTAACACTTCTGGTCCCCATCTCTACCTTGTGCCCACTCCTTCTCCTCAGAGGACAAGTGATTGGTTAAATGGTGAGAGGCTGACATTCATTATCTCCATTTCTCTATTGGGTAGGTGTGAGTTGTTAAAGGTCACTGTTCTCACATGGTTTGCCCTTTTCTTCTCTCTCAGGCTAGCTTGCCTGCAGAATGCATGTGTCTTCTCCCTTCAGCTAGGTCTAAAACACACTGGGCTCAAGATGCATGGCCTGCCTCCTACCAGTAAGTCTGGAGGCCCATCTCCTGTTGTTCCTGATATCAGGGTTCAGTGAGTGTGAGGCAGCTATTCCTCTTGTGGTTGAGTAATTATTTTGTAAGTTCAGCTTCCTTGGGTGTGTCACCTGGCCTAGATTTAGGGGGAAGCATTTCTCCTATTTAGATTTACCAGAAATAAAGTTGATATTTTAATCTTTCTTCTGGTTCTTGTGTCTACTTCTCAATTGGTTGGAATCTGTAGGGGAAGGGGTATGAATGATGCTTAAGCTTAAGGCAGGTACCACTCCCCTCTCATTAGAGACATGGAAACTAAGTTTCAAAGAGTTTAAGTACTTGTCTAAGGTCAAGTGACTACTAAGTAGAGAAGCCAGCATTTGACCTAGGTCTGTGTGATTGTTAATCCCTATTTGGCCCACCCGTTGTACCACATCGCCTCTTACAGAATCTCTGAGTAGGAACGACCTCAGAGGCCAGCTATAGCTATTTCATTCACACAGGAATCCCCTCTTCTTCATTCTTGACAAGTGTTTATTCAGCCTTTGCTTGAACGTCCTCAATGTCAGGGAGCTCACTACCTCACCAAGGCAGCCATCCACCTTTGCAACTGATTCTGCTCACCGTAGACACGCAGCACATACTCCTGAGTGAAGGGCCTCTGCTGGAATAAGCTGTGTATCTCCACACGGTAGATACCCGAGTCATTCTTCTGCAGTTTGCTGAGCGTCAGGGAGTAGCCTCTATTTGGGAAGCTCACTCTTTCCTTTTTATGACTTTGGGTCACGATCATAACAGCTGACTTGTTTGGCTCTTGTGGCTGTAAGGTCAAGAGAGTTGTGTTGAAGATCCAGACAATGCTGCCAATCTGCTTTACTGAGCTGTTCAGAGGGAAAGTCACAGACCCACCAAGGGCACCAACCAGCTCCTCCAGGTCTCTAGAGGCTGTTGACCCTGCAGACACACAGAGAGAACCATAAATTAAGCCTGAGTCCCTGCCCTTGCTCACCCCCTTTAGATCCTGGGAAGGCCTGGAGAAACACCGTTAGCCCACCTCGACAAGCCCTTGGGGGACACCCTTCTGAACCTCACTCACATGAAAGCACTGAACTCTCAGCTTGAGAGAGGTGACTGCAGTTGACCCCACCTCATTTCCGGAGACAGCTGGCTGAAAAGACAAAGCTCTGAGGTAGACTAGAAAGCCCAGCTTCAGCTTTGACAAGTTTCCCGGGAGGATGGGTGGGGCAATTACTGCCCAAAACAAACAAAAACAAAAAAACAAAAAAAAACCAAACCCGTTGCCATCGAGTGGATTCCGACTCATAGTGACCCTATAGGACAGAGTAGAACTGCCCATAGGGTTTCCAAGGAGCACCTGGTAGATTCAAACTGCCCACCTTTTGGTTAGCAGCCATAGCTCTTAACCACTATGCCATCAGGGTTTCCAATTACTGCCCAAGGTCCCCTTTAAAAAAAAACAAAAACCAAACCCATTGCCAACAAGTCCATTCTGACTCTATTGCTCCTGGGAGAGCTGATTCTGATACAGATGAAGAAGGCAGCAACCAACCTGACCTGGGGCAGTGGTTCTCCACTTGGATCAAGATTGGGAGGTAAGATAGAAGTTCCTAATGCTAACTGAAAGGTTAGCTATTCAAGCCCACCCAGCGGCTCCACAGGAGAAAGACCTGGTGATTTGTTCCCATAAAGATCATAGCCTAGAAAACTCTATGGGGCAGTTCTACTGTGTCCTGGGGTTGCTATGAGTTGAAATCGACTTAATGGTCCCTAACAACAACAATGATGATAGAGATAGCTTAGAAGTTTGAGTATGAATTATCCTTTTATTTTAACATAGGTTGAGTAGATCCCAGTGTATTTCCAAATGAGTTCTCACTCACTTGCATTCCAGTATGTTTCCCTAAGTGAGAAGGGACAAGGTAAGTGGCAGAGAGCTCGGTTAATATGCCCAGGCTATGTTATGATGCTCACCCCAAACTACTAGGAATTGTGATAGGGCTTCCCCAGGAAATTTTTTGTTTCACCCCAGTCTCAGCTCACTCTGGAGAGCATGATTTGCAAACAACCATCGCTGGTTTTGTGGCTCCAGGTAAAAAACCGTTAATGGCTGCTGAAGAACCTTCCAGTAGTGGTCAATGGAGCATCTCTAGTGAATAGGTGTGGAGAATGAGTACATGGTAAGACCTGAGAGACAGACCCTGGGGATAGCATTCTGCTAGTGCACTGTCTCCACTGTCTCAGGGAAGCACAAAGCAGTGAAGGAATTTAGATAGGAACTAACAGTTTAAAAGCACCTACGGTGATCTCATTTAACCTTCATAAGGACCCTTAGAGGAAGGATTTTTTTATATTCCTATTTTACAGATCAAGAACAATGAAGTTAAATAACTTATTTAAACCATTCAGACGATTAAGTTGCAGTTACCGCGCTGGTACCCCCCAAAACCTGTGCTGTTTCTACAACAACATTGTACAGACTCATTTATGGTAAACTTGACTTATAGGACAGAGGCTATGCTGGGCACTGGGGATCTAAATCAGAATGAGACAAATAAGGCACAGGGTCCAGGCCTTATAGGGCATATTTATAGATGAGAAAACTAAGTAGAAGAGATCGAAATAACTTATTCCAGGCTTATAGAAATAGCGGCAGAACTAAAACCAGAACCCAAGTTCTTCAGATAAAAAAAGAAACTTGAGGTCAAAAGGAACCAGATTAAAAGGAGAATCGTAAAAGAACAAAATCCCACATAACGTGTCAAGCTGAAATTTTTAAGAGGAAGTGCATCAAAATGTCGTGGAAAACACTTCTGCTTCTGTTGGTCCCTTCCTCAGTAAAAAAAAAAACTAAAATTTTGTTTTCCACTGGGTTGGTGTAAAGACATATGTAATCCACGCTGGATTCATTATTATAGAATCATCATTATTATAGTTCATTTTTCTTCTGATTTTAAAAAAAGTGAAGATTAAACCTCTCTTGGACCCTAGGGATTGGGCCTCCTGGGCCTAAATGGTCATGTGCTATTGACCAAGCATCCAGACTCTATTTCATTTCACAACTTAATCTCTTACCATAATATTTCCTACCACCCCAGAGCTGATGTCACTCATGCCTCTCCTGGTAAAAGGTAGATTCCTATGCTGGCCTGTCCAGATAATTCAAATTGCTTCATTAGAGATATATTTCTTTGGCCCCTGTTAACACTCAACTATCTCAGTCAGGGTCCCCAAATAATAACAGTCATTATTTATTATTTATTCATCATTCATTATTATTAATAAAAATCCTTAATAATTTTTAAGGGTTTACCCTGTGCCAGATGTTTATTGTAAAGATTATGCTTAATATTTTAAACAATCCTGCAAATTAGAGATTTGGGTCCTTTTGGCAAACTACAACCCATGGGCCAAATCTGGCCCACCACTTGTTTTTGTAAATAAAGTTTTATTAAAACAGAGTCAAGCTCTGTCATTTACATGAGATTAAGTAACACTGAGGTTAAATAAAACTAAGTAACTTATCCAAGGGCACTAAGCTAGTGATGATTTGAGGATTTGACCCAATGTTAGTCCAGCTCAGAAACCTGGGCTCTTTCCACTGTGACTCAGGTTGAAGGTCCCAGGCATTTGCCCTGGAGACATCAGCTTAAATCCTCTCCCTCACTCCCCTTCTCCACCTCCTCAAGGGCTCAGGTGTCAACTCCAAAGCCTTGGGCCTCATGGAATCCCAATATCCTCTTCATGTCCTTCCCTCCGGCACAAGCTGCTCTGTCAGCACCAAAGCAGGGTGAGGAAATCTGATGCTTCTAAATGTTGACCCTTAATAACAGGTCTGAAGTTGCTACCAGCTCTTTGCTAAATTTATCTCCAAAAGCATTGTTCTCTCCCCCGGTAAATGCCTTTTAGGAGCTGATTCTCATTTTCAAACACTTTTTTTCCCTCTATGATTTGTCAGTCAGTGCATAGATATTCAGGATTCCTCTAGCCTTTGTCAAATCATCTTGTCAAATATTCTGATTTTTCAAAAAGCTACCCTCTCCACTTCCCTAATACTAAGGCTAGAATGGCTTTTCAACTGCTCTCTGTTTGGTCATCTCGAGAAGTGTCCCAATAGTCCCAGTAAATTTTGCAGATAAAATTAATTTTATTTTGAAATTTTGACTGATCAATTAATGCATTAATTCTTTTACTTCAAAAACAGAGGGGGAAAGGAGAATATTTTGAAGTCAAATAAGGATTGAGTATCTCTTGTCCTCAAGTGGGTGCAATCTCTGGACTTAGGGCAACCTTCAAGTCATCACATTTGTACATTAGGTTTGGGAGGGATGTTTAAGGTGAGAAGGTAGCAAAATTGCCAAAGATGTGGCTTTCACATACATTCACACATTTAAGTCCTGGCCGTTAGTTCTTTCACCCTTTGATGCAAGTGGTGTGTATTCTCAGCAAAGTGCAAGAGAATTGTGTAGGGTGTAAGAAAATGTCTTAAAATTCATTGTTAATTGCTAGAACGAAACTGCGGTATGACCCAAAGGCAAATTGCCCACATGAGCCTAGGTGGAGCAAGTTGTTCTACCTTTATTGCATCTTCAGGGTGGGAAGAGGGATCATGAAAGAGGAAAGTAGCTCCGTGCCATGTCCTAAATGTGGGTTCAGAGAAGCAGCAGGGCTGGTGAGCCCTAACCAGTTTTCTTTCCTCTTCCCTGTTGACTGGAAAAAGGGATCCAGAAACAATCGACTTCTCTCTTCAGCTGTTAAAGGCTGACCCAAAACTCCCCTTCTGGTAATAGCTTCTCCACACCACAGTCTTACAATGTGCGACCTCACAGTCTTACATCTAGGCAGGTCACACTAGCCTCACTCAGCCTTTCCTTCCTTTAACAAGAACTTATTGAGTTCCATCTTTATGCCAGGCATAAAGCCCAGTTCAAAGCAGAGATTTCATAAAATTTCTTTGGATGGCTTCTCAGAAGGTGAGCCAGAAGGTTAAGAGGGCAGTGACTATCCCCTCCAGTCAACCTGCCTTTGGGGGTGGAGGGAGCTGGAACAGCATCCACTTCTGCCCTGGCCAAGACTCAGATGTTCCTAGCACCAGGAGAGTTAGCTCTAAGACACCCTCCATTAAAGGGAGGGACAACAGCTCCTGCCCTTTGCCGCTTTCCTTTCCTCTTGGTTATCACCTCCTCCGCTTCCTTTTCTCTCTTCCCCTAAGTCTCAGGTGTTGAGCGGGGAGGGAGTCAAATTATGAGAAAGGCCACATCATTAGTGCAGCCAGAAACAAGGCATAGTGGCACGGGATGGAGAAGACCTCCTGCATGTCCACCCTGTCCCCAAGTACTTCTCCAAGCACTCGGGGCTGCATCAGAATGCACCAGAATGTCATGGTGCCCTCCTCATGGAAACCCAGGGCCAGAGCATCTCAAAGCTGGAGGAATCTTAGGGACTGCTTACTTCAATTCCATTTCACAGATGAGGAGACCAATGCTGGGAGGGTTATGGTGACGTGCCCAAAGTGAACGGAAGGCTGGGATTAGGAACCAGGACATCTAAGGCAAGACATCCCAAATTGTGCACCCTGCCACCCTTGGGGTCTGTGGCAGCACCTCAGGGTCTCTGGGGGAAGGTTTAGCAGGTGGGACGCAGAGCTGGGGGTGGTGAGGCAGGGGCCACGGAATGCCCCTTCTATTAGAACAGCTTCAACCCTCTCTATGTTTTATGTGCTTGTTTCTGTGTAAATTTCCATTTCATAAAAGGAGATCACCGCTACAAAGAAAAAACAAACAAAACCAGTTTGTAAACCACTGCTCCTCACCCAGCTGTCCACTGGGGACCTGTGGAAAAAGCGTTGTAAATTAGTGCCACGTGAGACATACCACAGAACAGAGGCTCACAAACCTCCCAGTTGACCAGACTCCTTTCCCGATACTCAAGCCCAA